TGTTAGGGCTTTTATCTATTGGGACCTTGGTCACAATTATCTCTAGTGATCATTGGATCCCACCTACTTTGTCTGGTCTCAGGGTAGATAAGGTTGAGACAATGAGACCTAGTCATAGATTGAACAACCAAATCATGGGTACATTTCATTACCTTGGGTTTTATGGTGTTGCTGGTCCGTTGTTCACATGCGTGCCCAAGTGGTGTCCAAGAAAAGGGTCTACATAAGTCAGTCATCTTGGTGGAAATGGGGACCCCTCAACCATCTGTGGCAATTCCGCCTCACATCACTCTACCACTAGGGGGCAAGGTCATGGGATGACCCCTCCATCACCCACAACGGTCCATTTCTCATCAGACCATCAGTGGGTTTTTTTTTTTTTTTTAATCAGTCTTTGGGGATCTTGAAGCTTGTGAGCAGTCGTATAAGGTTCAACTGTTGGTCTCTCCCTATGTGCAGGGAAGAAGAGCAATGAAAATTGAAGTGATGAGCCACAGGAACATCTCTCTCCACAAGCCTGAGACTACTGAGTACCCGGCTGCTACCACCAATTTAGAAGGTCCAGCATAGAGTGAGACGAAAATGTGGGACAAAACTCAACATCATTTAAAAAATGAAAATTTAAAAAGACCAAGCTTATTGGTCAGAGAGAAACTGGAGAAACCCAAGACTGTGGTCCTTGGTCATCCATCAGTTATGAAATTGATCTCCCCTTTGGCGTTCAGTTGTCAGCAAAGTGTGGGCAGTTCTATAGGGGGAGACAACAACCCTAGTGAGTTCTGCACACCATAGAATACTCAACCATTTGAGATCAAAAGGGCAGCATTTTCCTAAGCACATGTTGAGAAGGGATGGGAAGGAGGGTGAAACGGAACTAGGAACCCCAGGGTGAAAGCTGGATTACTTTTGTTGCAGGGAGGGATTTCAGTCCTTGAGATGAACGAAAGTATAGAACTTGCTGAATATAAAATTGATCTTCTGCTCTGGAAACCTTCACTCAGGTCTCAATGAAAAGTTATGGAATTTTGTTTCTGTTTTTTGGTTCGTTTGTTTGTTTCTGTGGTGGGGTTTTTTTGTTATTGTTGTTTTTTAAGTCAGTCTCTGGTATTATATGCTTACAACTTTTCTGTAAAGATTCCTAGTCGCATCATCAGTTGAACATTGGATTGCTAACCATAAGGTCAGCAGTTCAAACCCACCAGCTGCTCTTTATGACAAAATCTGCTCCTATAAAGATTTATCATCTAGATAACCCTATGGGGCAGTCATGTGTCCTATGGAGTTGTTATGCATTGGAATCAACTCAGTGGCCGTAGGATTAGAGTCAATTCTGGTTCATAGTGTCACCCTGTGTGTCAGAATAGAAGTGTGGTCCGTAGAGCTTTCAATTGTTGGTTATTTGGAAGCAGGGTGGCAGGACTCTCTTCCGTGGCACCCCGGGGTGAATTTGAACCTGCAGTCTCGCAGTTACCAGCTGAGTAAGTAAGATGGGACTTGTAATGGACTCAGAATTGCCAGACTGCAGGATTGTTTCTTCTCTGGAATTGTCTCCTCTCTGCTCTGCCTGGTGATCCTCTCCTGACTTGAACAGGTCCCACACATCCCCAAGGCCAACCCAGCTTACTTCTTCCAGGAAGAAACCTGGAGGAAGGAGAAATGGAGGAACAGACAGAGATGATGTTGAGACTCAGCCCATGCAATCTGAGAAACCACTCTTGGGATTTAAAAAACAAACACAAGATTTATCATGAGTTGAGTGAAGGTTTACAGAACAGAAAATGATTAGTTTACATTCAACCAACCTGACTCTTGGCTTCATTTTAATAATTCCAGTCCCTTCCGTGAAACATCACTACTTCCTGGGATTTTTGCTTCTCTTTCATTTTCTTTCCCAACCCTTCTGAACTTGGTCTTTAGATAAATGCTGCCCTTTTGATTTCAGATGTTGACCATTGTAGGGTTTGTGCACATCACTAATAGTGTTGTCCCTCATCCCCATATACCTATGTATGGCTTAGGTGAATATTGAGGGGGCTTCTATCCAGACCTGAAAGGATGACCAACGGTCATGATCTCAGGTTCCACCAATCTGTATCTCACCAGTAAGCCTGGGGTTTTTTTTATGATTGTACATTTTGTTCTATGTTTTCTCCCACTCTATCCCTTTCAGAGACATTGTTAATGAGAACCAGGATTCCATTTATTCTTATGGGGTCATGGAAAAACCACTCTTGGGACTTTCCACTAACCATGGACACAGGTGTCCAACTTCAGGTTAAAGGAAACAGACCAAACCAGCTTCCATGTGTGCTGGGGTACAGTGGAGCTCCGACAAGCTTTCAGTGGCTGATTTTTCAGAAATGAAATTCGGGTCTTTCTTCTGATGCACCTATGGCAGCATATACTTAGTGTCAATCTTTCTGTTAGTTGTTACGATCGGTCGCTCTGGCATTGAGTCATGATGCCCTCGTGTATGTCAGAGGAGAACTGAGCTCCAACAGGTTGTTGATCTCTCTGTTACTTCTTACGATCAGTCGCTCTACTATTGATTCATAATGTCCTTGTGTGTGTCAGAGTAAAACTGAGCTCCACTGGGTTTTCAGTGAAGATGATTAGGAGGTAGATCACCAGCCCTTTCCTCAGCAGCCCCTCTGGGTGGAGTCATACCTACAACCTTTTCATTAGCAGTCGAGCGCTTAGCCCTTGCGCCACCTGAGTACTTCCAACTAAAGATCAAAGCACTTCTAGAAAATAAATAAATAAAAAGAAGATGCCTAAAATAAAAGATCCCAAGCAATGTAGTGGATTAGGAACTGGGCTGCTAACTGCAAGTTCAGCAGTTCGAATCTACCAGCCACTCGCTCCGTGGGAGAAAGATGAGGCTTTGTGCTCCTGTAAACATTTACAGCCTCGGAAACCCTGTAATGAGTCGCTATGAGTTGACAAAACCATTCACAGTTGTCTGCTTAATAAACGGAAGGGAAAAACAATCCAATGTCCAAGAGACACACTCAAGCTATAGTGAAGGAAGACACAAGAAACAGACAAACTCATTGCCTTTAAGTCAATGAGGACCCTTATAACAACACTATGGGAGAGAGTGGAATCCCACTGTGATGCTGTAAGATAAGCACTAGACTGCTAACCACAAGATCGGCAGTTCAATCCCACCAGGCACTCTTCATAAACCCTATACATGGTCACTACATGTCAGAACCGACTCGACATCACTTAACAACAACAAGACAGA